CGCGAGTGGGCGCGGCGCGCTGTGTGGGCTGAGCCGGAGCCGCGCGGGGAGCGGCCGGGGGGCGGGGCGGCGGGGCCGTGGCCGCCGCCCGCTTGACTCGGCTTGCGCTCCAGCTGCTGCGCTGGCACCTGCAGGGCTGCGGAGGTATCGTCCCGCGGCGCTGCGGGGCCGGCCGGTTGGGGATGGGTGGGGGAGGGCGGCCTCGGCAGTTTCCCATCCCCCTCTGGTGGCGAGAAGGAAGCTCGTTGAATCCTGCTCTTTCCGCTCCATTTGGGCTCTGGGCCTTTTCCACCACCCCTGGCTGGACAATTGAAAACAAATTTTTTTTCTTCGAAGTGGCTTTGTCATTGAAATGAGCTGCATACCTGAAGTCTGTCGCATCCTTACAGTGCGCGTCTTCTTGTTAGAGAAAGTCATCAGCTCCAGCTTGGATCTGAAAGGCGTTTCCTGTTCACCTACGGAAAGCAAGCTTTGGGGTGACTGCGGTTCTGTTGAAAGTCGCTTTTATCCTCCCGCAGTAGTTGGAAAGAGCCAGTGTCTATATCCTATTCTTGAGTACTCACGTGCACTCCTAATGTCAAAGAACCACATGCACAGAATTGCCCCCGCTCCCACCCCCCTGAAAATGAGTCGTATTTCCTTACAGAAATTGCCAGACCATCTTAACGTGCAGTTCAATTCGTTTATTCAGTAATGGGTATCAAATACGGTAGTGATAACAAGAATATACCGAGGGCGGGGGGAGCAGGGAAGTTTAAAAGTATTTTCCCGTCACTTGAGACCGGAACTCCTGGTTTTTTCCTGTTTTAAAAAAAAAAATGTAATGAGGGCGGTAATTTGCAATACCTATTTTGTGTTAACGTCTGCCAAGTGGTTACAGCGATGGGTGTGTCCAGAAGGCAAGGTGACATCTTAAGCAGGAGTTGGGAATTCTTGCCAACTGAAACCTCCAGCCTGTATGGGTGTGGGGTGAGGAGTTCGCCTTGGATAAACGAGTGATTATTTAAGTTTGATGCACTGGTTCTGTTGTGATTATTTTAAATTATTCCGGATTTGAATATACTAGTTGAATTTACTCTTCTAGGTGAAACAAGGTGTACATTATATGCATGTAATCAAGATTCTAAATTGTGGGGTAAATTTTTAAAAATGTTTTCAAATGAATGGTAAAGTTTTTTCCTAATCAGTCTAGTCATTGAATCGGGAGCTCGAATAGATTTTCTTGGTAATGCATGCAGTTTGTTATGTATGTACGCTTTCATGGTCCTATGCCAGGGATAAGCTTTTGTAGTTCCTGTTTACACTATTGGTGCGTTCTATTATATATGACCCTCATTGTTATGTAAAATTAATTAGGAAGTTGTCTTAAGGTAACTTCATAATTCTAAAACCTGGAGATTTAAAATTAGGACTCTTACCAACTTATAGAATAAAAATTTGTGTGGAAGTGGAATAAGATTGCTCCCATAGTTCTTGGGTTTATATGTAGTTGATACATGCTCATTGAAAGGGCGGGGGATTGCTTTAAGAAGACTTGGGGCCCAACTGATAAGTAAAAGATATGAAGAGGTAGAAAGTTTTTGTGCTTGTTTAAATAATCATTATTGCATCAATATGCAAGGACATCTCTGTTAAACTGAGGAAATCCACTATGGCCTTGTTAAAATATATAGAAGTTTCTAGATTTAGTTATAATGATCAAATTAGACCTTTAGTAAAGACCCTAATTTCTGTGAAATAATTTGTTCTAGTGGTTTCTTTATATGATGCTACATAGTACTGTTCTGTCAGAATTATATGTTTACTAAAATAATTTAAAGACTATTTTGATATAGGTAAAATAAATACCCTGACTTCTGAAATGTAGAAAAAACTTAGTAAGCCTTTGTTGTATCTAAGTAAAACTTGGAATTAAGAGGAATGAATGAAAGCTAGAAGTTTGTGTTCCGTTTTAAGCCTATGGATTTGTCTATTTATTCAAATAAGAGTTTTGGATTATTTTTAAACTGCCATTCACTAGATAAGTTCCAAGAGTATCCATGTCTACTTTTGAATGCCACTTAGGAAATGTTTAGTAGGTACATAAAACATTCACTTTTCAGGTCACACATTAGTCTAGATTAGTGTTTCTCAATGTTTACAAATCACCTGTGGTTCTTCAAAATGCATATTGTACTTCAGTAGGTCTGATGTGGAACCTGAGAGCGTGCTGTGCCTGGAAGCTTTCTCTGTAGTGACCAGAACAGTAGAAATTCTATCAATTGTAGAAATAAAGGAGTAAGAACTAGTCATCTCTCTAGTGGATTGTTCTTCACTTTACTGAGATAAACACACATGTTAATGAACTTGAGTTTTCCCAAAAGTATAATTCTTCTCGTTCTTCTAAGAAAATGGCATTCTCCATAGACAGAAATAAGAACCAGATTTATTTGCATGTAGTTGGAAAAGGCTTACAAATTAGAGTGCTAGGGAGTCGTGTATTTTTGCTTTTAGTAGGCCTTAATCTGAATGTTGCTGATAAAGTTTATTTTAAAAGCTTGAACTCTGGTTTAGTAGTAAATACAAAAATTTCTTTAAGTTTCTTGAAACAATGCAAGCAAAATCCAGGAGCACTTTGAAGGCTGAGTAACAAAATGTAATGGCCCCATGCCATCTTGTCATCTTTCTACCTCTAAGAAAACACATTCTTAGAAAAATTCACAAATAAGCTTTAAGGAATAAACTATCAAACAGAATGCCGAGTTACAATATAGTGCTTTTAATTGTAAATGGATGGGAAAAGTAAAATTAAGAAAAAAACTTCCATGTGGCAATAATACATTTTGAACTTTGTAGAAAGGATAAAATTTAAATAGGTATCTCCATATTACATGACAAGAGAAGCACACGTGCTTATGTATATTTTGATCCTCCAAAGTATTTCATAAGAAGTAATCTGGTAATATAGACTGGAGTTAAGATGACTGGTATAAAAGACAAAGTATAGCCGGACGAAAATAGAATTCAAAATACCTGCATATGATACAGTCTGTGAGATCTTTAATGAAGGCCTTGCTACTGTCTGTAACGAGATGATGATGCCATGCATGTCTGTCTGTGTGGAAGTTGACTATAGTCAGGTTCATATTTAACATTGTAGGTTTTTCGATAAGTTAACATAAGTAAAATAATTATCATTGAATTCTTGGGGCTGGCCCTTCACATAGTTTCTTACTGTGCACCATAACCTTGTAAGGTAGGTATTGTACAGATGAAATTGACTATGAGCAGTTGAGTAACCTGTCCAAGGTCACATGGCTATTAAGTGGCAAAGCTCTAGGATATTAGTCCAATGACTCAAAACACCATCCTTTTTTGTCTACTCTGCCCTTTCTTCATAAATGATAGAAAGCCTGCAAAATGGGATCGGATTAGAAGTAAATCCTTTATAGTCTCTAACAAAGTAAACACCAAGTCAGTGGATTTACTGTGTTTTAAGTCTTACTCCATAGGGAAAACAACATAGGACTGATTTTATATCAGATACTTGGTGGAAGATTGGGATTTGGAAGGATAAAAGTTGGGGTTTTTTCCAACTTCTGCATTTGAGCTTAATTATTGCCTCTTCAATTTTAAGATACCAGACCTTTGGCTTTTTTTCTTTTTTTAAATAGAAACCAGTTGAGTTTGCTTTGAGGTCAAATGAAAATTGTTGAGCAGGGAGAGAAACTTGCAAGCTTTCTGGGTCCTTCCCACATTTTGTCATGCTGTCCACTAGAAAAAATGTGATGCTATTATTCTATATCAAGGTATTTTTTTCCAGAGCTGTGTTCCTTTGAAAGAGTGAAACCAGGCAGTGTTTATTCTTTCATACCAGTAAAAGAATGGATTAATTACAGAATGCTTGATTTCATATGGGTAAGGATATTAGAAGGTCGTTTCTTGTTCTGGCTTCTCAGTACCACATGGGTTGTTTCATGGGTTTATGTACTAGTAAGTGGTGAAATGTTCGAGGATGAAGGCCACATGAAGCACAAGAAGCCTTGGTATTTTTTAGATATGTTTATAAATTATGGTACTCTGCATTTAAAACTTAGAGGTATTGAGTATGTCTAACACCTTTTGTTTAATTCTGACTTTACTAGGTACTAATTTTGTACTCCTCCCAGAAATTTAACCTGAACCTCTTTCCCTATCTGTATGATAAAGAATGATACCAGTACAGAGTTATTATGAAGATTGAATAAAAACCATGTATATAATGGACTTTAGCAAATGCCTGGGCATTTTTTTTTTTTTTAAGCAAAAATAAGTAACTCCTCTCAGTGTTAAAAAAAAAAAATCACAAACCTTAGGTTCACTTTGGGGTTTTAAAAGTCCAGAGAAAATGGATAGCTGGATTTAACATTTAGTAAATAATGTAGTTCGAGTGGTTAGAATCCTGGATTCCCTGCAGTTGCCTGGCAGGTGAGGAGAAGTAAAAACTGGTAGCTTTCCTGTTGCCTCAACTAGGACAGCTTGGAGTTTTATCTTTATAATAGATGGGATTTTCACTTAGGTTTTTTTTTTTTTTTTAAGGTTTGGAAAATCCTTTTCATGTCCAAATGATGTGTTTAACCTTTTATAGGGATAACTTTGAATGTAGTCCTTGGACATTATTTTTGGTTCAGTGGACATTTCTTCTAATAGTGGTTTTCATCTAACAGAGGAGGTGAGCTTAAGTTTAGGTATCCTAATTTTGAGAAAGGAAATAATGTTTTTGTTGGATTCTATCCTTGCTTTAGAAGAATAACAACTCCATTTAAACTCTCTAGTATTCTAATATGCCAAATTGCTTTTTTCCCCTCAGTTTTTGTGAAATTTGGACTTCAATATGTATTCTGAAATAATAGCTTGGTTTAAATATTAAACTTGGTCAAAACACTTTCATTTTTCACATGCATTTTCTCTCTCTGTTGCTCATACTAAGGAATGTTAGACTAAATGCAGTTTATGGTACAAGGTGAAACTTGAAAGTTTTAAAACTTATTTCTTAATTTAACTGCTAATCTGTATACTCTGAAGTCACTTACCTATCTCTGATCTCTTTGTAGGCTGACCAACTGACTGAAGAGCAGATTGCAGGTAAGAAATAATAAATTGTACTCATTAGATTTCATTATAAAGTGAATAGCCAACCTCAAAATAAGTTACTTGTATGAAAGAATTCACTTTGGGGGTGCCTGGGTGGCTCAGTCGGTTAAATGTATGATTTCGGCCCAGGTCATGATCTCACAGTTCGTGAGTTCAAGCCCCTCACCGGGCTGTCCACTCTTAGCACAGAGTGCGCTTTGGATCTTCAGTCCCTCTCTGTGTCTGCCCCTGCCCTGCTCGCATTCTTTCTCCTCTCTCTCAAAAATGAAGTAAAACGTTAAAAAAAATTATCACACACACACACACTCACTTTGCTTTGCTCTATGCAGTAGATAGTAACAAATGAG